AAACAAATTTTTTAGCATTTCCTCCCTTCACACATAAATAAATGATATAAACAAATTCAATGCAATATTTTCTAAAGTCTCATCCATAGTAACTATTGATATCCAAATACTTGACTAATATATTATTTTAGGTGCTAATTAAACTCTATCCATCTTTTTAGTTAAACATTAAAATTAAACCATGCCACTTTTTTTTAAAGAATAAATATTGATTTACTTGTTATTCAGATCTATGCAAAGTAATTCAAATCCTCTTCAATATCCGTGATGGTTATATTCTGCAAGGATTAAGCCTAGCCCCTTAAATATAAATGTGTTCACATATCCAATTCAAATGGTTAAGATTAAAAATATATAAGTTCCGATCTCATGTACTATTCAAACTTTATTTAGAAGGTGTTCTACAAATTGTTGACTTTTTTATCATTAATCAAGTAATACCTTGAAGGATATTGTACTTTGTAATTGTATTGTAAAGAAAGTACAATTTTTTATATGTCCCTTATAGCTGGTGAAACAATGAACCAATTGTCATGTAATTTTTAAAGGGAACCCCATGAGCAACAGTAAAAAAAATTCAAATTATTCTTCATAATTTGATTTTAATAAATTCACCAGCAACTCTGTGCCCTTCCGCATAGTGAAAATAAAATATTACAATTTTATTTATATTCCTTAAAGCTGGCGAAACAGTTGAACCGAATAACTTGTCAATTTATGAAGGAATCCACAGCTGTCCCAGGATTATCATAGAATTTATAAATTTAAATTTTTCTCTTGCATAAAATCAGATTTTAATTATTACTAGGGAATCGTTGGGCCCATCAACTTATTATTTATTAAAAAGTCTAAAATTTTATATATGGTGTCTATAGCATGCCAAACAGCTGAACCAAATAGCCTTACATTTTATATTCAAATTTTTAATCCTTCAAATTTTGATTATTAAAAATAAACAGGCAAGGCCCAGCCTTTCTGCTTTCCATAAATAATGACCATATACTATTGCAATATGTTTCTTACAGCTACGAAAAACTAATTGGCATGTCATTTCTTTTGAAGAGAACCCAGTAACTAGTAACTAGTCAAATGTAGATTTTTAAGGTAAATTCAATTGTACAAAAAAACCAAAAGATGGGAGTTATTCTATGACCAACTGGTAAGAGATTCATGAAGAGAACGAATTATTTGGTGTACAGCCTAAAAAAAATTTAGCATTTTAGTTTTGCCCTTGTATTACCATATAAACACTAATTAGATACGGAATGGCTATATTTATTTTCAACTGTTAACAATTAAATTCTCATGCTTGAATAACTAGATTCTAACTAACTAGATTTTAACTTGATTCCATGATCTTCATGATCTTCGTTAGAAGCATACCACTGATAAGTTTTTTTGAAGTTACAGTGAACAGCCTCGCTACATTGTTCTGAATAAACTCCCAAAGAAGTCTGTGTGTGGTCTAGAAAAGGCTAAACGTGATGAAGAAGTATATGACCTTTCCAGCCAAAGCGCATATTAGAGTTGAGATTGTTTTCCACATACATAGTCACATATTTTAATTCATTAAATAATTCCTCTATGGTAAGCTGGTACCCGTCCACTAGGTTCATGCCAAAACAGGCAAAAACTACTTGTTCAAATTTGAATAAAAGGCCAACAACTGGCAAATATTCTGGACAATTTTCTGTAACAAAGATATTTAGGTCATTAAGTTTCTTCAGGACCTTGTTGGTGCTATGTAAACGCCTCAACACGGAAACACCTCAACACGGAAACGGACCACAAAGTGATTGTGGGTCCGTTTCCTTCTTTTTTCAAGAATTATCGGAAATCCCTCAAAAACTAAAAAGTGTAGAGGGATTTCCGGATATTTTGGGTCGGTTTCCGCTATATTTACATTTGATTCGTTTCCCGTTTTTTTCGGTCCATTTCCTCTTTTTTTTGGGTCCGTTTCCGATTTCCAGAAAAAGTTGTAAATTCTCAGTTTGTTGATCCGTTTCCACTTTTTTTTGAGTCCGTTTCCTCTTTTTTTGGGTCCATTTCCGATTTTCAGAAAAAGTTGTAAATTCTCAGTTTGTTGATCGGTTTCCTCTTTTTTTGGGTCCGTTTCCTCTTTTTTTGGGTCCGTTTCCGATTTTCAGAAAAAGTTGTAAATTCTCAGTTTGTTGATCGGTTTCCTATTTTTTAGGGTCCGTTTCCTCTTTTTTTTAGGTCCGTTTCCGATTTTCAGAAAAAGTTGTAAATTCTCAGTTTGTTGATCGGTTTCCACTTTTTTTGGGTCCGTTTCCTCTTTTTTTGGGTCCGTTTCTGGTTATCAAAAAACGTTTCAGTTTCAAATTCTCAGTTTGTTGATCGGTTTCCTCTTTTTTTGGGTCCGTTTCCTCTTTTTTAGGTCTGTTTCCGTTTTTCAAAAAAAGTTGAAAATTCTCAGTTTGTTGATCGGTTTCCTCGTTTTTTGGGTCTGTTTCCTCTTTTTTGGATCCGTTTCCTCTTTTATTGGGTCAGTTTCCGGTTTTCAAAAAAAGTTTCAAATTCTCAGTTTGTTGATAGGTTTCCTCTTTTTTGGGTCTGTTTCCTCATTTTTTGGGTAATTTTCAGGATGTATATCAAATTATTGGTTTTAGTTGGGTTTGATTTGCATTTTCCACTCATTTCTGGCATTTCCAAACTCCACCTAGTAATGGCTTCATTTCCTAACTTTCAGCTTTCACTTTGTTTTATATTCTTCATTATAGTCATTCATTTTACATTAACTACAAAAAAACTGAATTTATTTTAAGTAAAATAAAAAATAGTTTTACTCTAAGTGGAAAAGGATGTTACTTTTTTAAATCTTTAGAAATGCTACTCTGTAAAACTTTGAAAAAATATTGTCTTTGTTTATATTCTAATTTCCAGAGGCGCAACTAGCACTTTTGCTGGGGGGGGCAAAACATTATTTTGTAATGGTTTGGGGTGTGGGGGGGGGCTTGCCCCCCTTTTAAAAAAATGTTCAAGATAAAAGTACTTTTTTAACGATTTTTTTTCCAAAAAAAGGAAATTATCAGTTGTTGCATGCAGATTTGGTGTTTAATTCAAATCTTTTTTTTTCTTGTGTTTTTTAAAAATTTATACTTTCAACAACTGTAAAATTAACGATATGAGTCATTCAATTCTGTTCATGTGTGCGCTGAGCGCCAAAGAAAATTTGTTAAGTACCTTGTTCAATTGCAGATATAACTACATGAAATAATCATTTATATATTGTGAAAAAAACACATCAAAATACTTATATGATTTTAATCATCTACATTGAAAAAGGACAGATAATTTTACGTTTTCTCCTGAAGTTATTGAATTTATGATTGATCATTCTATCCAACATTTATAATCTTATTTCATTTTCGACTTTATATTAGTTATATATCAAAAATCAGTTATCAATTATCAGTTAGAAGTTTGCCACGCTCAGTCTCAGAATGTTTTCTAGATTTTGCCACAAACCCAAATATTCTAATCCCTAAATCTTTGCACCGAGTGGTGTAAACCTNACCCAAAAAAAGAGGAAACCGATCAACAAACTGAGAATTTTAAATTTTTTCTGAAAACCGGAAACGGACCCAAAAAAGAGGAAACGGACCCAAAAAAAGAGGAAACCGATCAACAAACTGAGAATTTAAAAGTTTTTTTTGAAAACCGGAAACAGACCCAAAAAAAGAGGAAACGGACCCAAAAAAAGAGGAAACCGATCAAAAACTGAGATTTTAAAACTTTTTTTCAAAACCGGAAACGGACCCAAAAAATAAGGAAACTGACCCTAAAAAAGAGGAAACCGATCAACAAACTGAGAATTAAAATTTTTTTTTGAAAACTGGAAACGGACCCAAAAAATGAGGAAACGGACCCAAAAAAAGAGGACACCGATCAACAAACTGAGAATTTGAAACTTTTTTGAAGACCGGAAACGAACCAAAAAATGAGGAAACGGACCCAAAAAAAGAGGAAACGGACCCAAATAAAGAGGAAACCGATCAACAAACTGAAAATGTACAACTTTTTCTGAAAATCGGAAACGGACCCAAAAAATGAGGAAACAGATCAAAAATATTGGGAAATCCCTCAAAAATATTGGGAAATCCCTCAACAATATAAGACCCTGATAAACCGGAATCCGACCTAAAAATTGAGGAAACGGATTAAAAAAACGGGAAATTCCTCTAAAAATTGGATTTGAGGCATTTCCGATAATTTTTTAAAAACAGGAAACGCCTCAAAAAAATTCATTTTGGGGAGGTTTCCGTTTTTTTTGGGTCCGATTCCGTGTTGAAACGTTTCCATAGCACCACCTTGTTACTATTACGACCATCCAGGCCACCACCATTATAGCCATGAAAACTAATACCATTCTGATACAAGAGCTCCATTACAGAGAAGAAGAGAGCAAACTGTAACAAATGTCATAAGTAAATGAAGCTCTGGTGGCGGAATCACATCTATGACTAGTTTTTCTTGGGGTTCTTTAAGTAGACATGGTTGGATTACATTATCAAATTGTTTCATATTTTTGTATCCATTTTCCTTATATTCATTATAACATTTTGACAGGTCTCCAAAGGTTCTCAATTCTCCAGGTATGTCAACTGTGCCATTACAATAGAGACAACTGTGCTTCCCTCCATGTGCGCTAATTCCTAGAATAATGTTGAGCAGCTTTAGATCTGAGGCTATATGAAATTTCAAATCGTTTAGATGAGTTTTTTTAAAAAGTATACTCATATTGTGATGGGATTCCGGAATATCTTTTACAGCAGCGATGTATATAACTTTTTAACTCCAGGATCCTTTACTTTCAGGCTCTCCGTAGTATGAGGTATAAAAATGTTCATAATGAGTTTCAGAGATCCCCCACCTCCATCGATACCGACCCTTACTAATGCATCAACTGGATCTATTTATCTCATTCCACATCTGTGAAACACTAATGCTGTCACATCATTTACATAAACTAAATCTTTTGTTACTTTGTTACTAAGGAATGTGACCATTCTTTTATATTTGATGATGAGTTGGATTGAACTCCAGTTCGACCCAGATCTTTCCTACACGCAGCTGCTATTGAATCTATAACTGTCTCTGAGAAGTCATGTTTCTGCTTTAATCCAAATAGTGTTTCAGAGGATATTCTTTTCTTCATTTTTGACATGCCAACATGAACTGGAAGTGGTTTGCCTAAAGTTGATAGCTTAACATCTTGGGTGTTCTGATCTTCCCTCATATCCTGAAATGTTTAACCATTGTATAGAACATCTTAGTTTATATTGAGCTAAGTACGACATGAATGGATTATTTTTTTAAGCTTAAATTCAAGGCACATGTACATAAAATGGCAATCCCAGATAAGGATTTTTTTGTTTAAAAACATGTTTTCATAAACTTTTTTGTGTTTTGGCAATTTTGATTTAATCTAAATCTTATTCTAAACAATTGCAAATAACTTTCAATGATCAGTGTATCATTATTTTTATACATAGTACAACATATTGGCCTAATCTTCTAGGGGCATGATTAAGATTCAGCCAAACATTTTTTGTTCCGGTCAGAAATTAAAACTTTGTAAAGCTCTGGCTCTAAATTTTTAGTGCACATATAGTCGTCGTCGTCATTAATACAATGAAGACGACTTTAAATTTAAATTTTTTATTTCTACTAAGCCTTTAAACAGCATGGATACACATATAACATGGAAACAAAGTGAAGCTATCAAATAACAGTTTCTCTGTTGTAAACTTTTAATCTGACATAAGATTGTTAGAAATCAAAACTTAAATAGAAAAGTTGTCTTCATTGCATTGCTTTATACGCCAACCACTGCATTTTTCAAGAAGATTTTTTATGTTGGTACCTTCAATATCGTAGATAGAACTTACTCTGTAGTTCTTGGTCCCTTCGAAAACAAGATAATTTTGAGATTTGAAATTGTATCAGCTTTGTTGCATGGATGTCTTTTCCCAGGTCCTAAAAAGCAGAAAAAATACATGAGATGGCTTAAATGTTTTACACATTAATAATAAAATATTTCATAAATTTCAATATTAGAATTGAATTTCTTACCTAAAGTTGCAAAACATTCAGAACAAATTTGATCTTTCTCTATAAGAATCTGGATGTTCAGCTCATTTTCTTTCTCATACTCCATCAAGTCCTTAATATGCTGATTTGATTATTGTATTCATGCAATACTGCATAATTTAATTTTATTATTGTATTTAAAGCACTGCAAATTGAAAAAAAAAGTAATGAGACATCAATAATTATAATTATATTTTTATATAAATGTAGTGTGTAAACATTACACATGGGAATTAAGCAAAAACTTTTAACTCAAATTATTTTTTCAATTTGTTTTATTATGTGCAATAATTTTTCAAAATGTACGCTAATTAATGGGTGGATTAACATTTCTTGATATTATGGGTTTTAGCAAACTTTTGACAAATGATATGTTTGAAAAAGAAATAGTATCTACCTTTATATAAATAGTTTTCATCTTACTCTTGCTGCTGAGCAAATCACGCATGTACACACACCCTGTCCATCTCCTAAAATATTGTTCATATTATCTAATCAATTATTAAATTGAATTAAGATATGGCCACTGAAATATTTATATTTTTAAAGATAATTGAAAATTATGGTAAAAAAACCTAAATTTCATGAAAGTCACCTCTAAATCTTGGTAAAAGTTTCATTCTTTCAGCATGAAGGATCCAGTTCATCTGAACTTGTATAGATATCACTTCACCTCTTCCCAATCCACAGATACGAGCTAATATATAATACATATAAATTTCTTAAATGCACATTTATGCATGTATTAGAACGTTTTTTATGGCTAAAAGTTTTTTATATTTAAATTCATTAATCTTATAAAATATTTACTTACTTTTACAAGTTGGGCAAATCCCAGCCAGGAGATTCAACATTTTTTCATCATAGTCAGGATTAGAATACATTCGTATCATGGCAACCAACTTCTCAGCCTCCCCAGGTCCATTCAGATCTCCGCATTTCTGGTTCTTTATTCCACATAAAGCGCAAATAAGAATTCTGCACAATATGTGCGATTTTATTTGATAAGGCATGTCATTTTTCTCGAAGCCTCAGCGACACGCCTATTATTGTAAATATTTTTAAAATGGCGACTTGCCTGAATTACTAAAAGGCTGCATAATCTACTTGTTTTATCAGGTATTGAATGGCGACACGCCTATTATTATGATATCTGCCAGAATGGCCACTTGCCTCAAATTGTTAAGTGGCGGCACGCCTGCATTACTAATTGGCGACACGCCTAGGTCTGCACATTTATCATCAAAATTGAAATAAACATTGAATATATCAACAAAAACGACATCAATTAAGCAGTTAAGCAGACAGCAGTTAAGTTTTCTTCTTTCATGACATCCATCTTGCTACTGAAACGAATGACATGTTAACACCCAATGTACTGTTGAATTATGGACTTTCTCAAACCAGGTTAAAAATGTGGCAATTCAGATTTGTAATTTGCATCAATCCTATGAATTTACAGGGTGGGTGGGTGGGTAAATTCCCTTCTATGTCCTTAAGTTCTGAAACGTTCGGAATGACTAAGCGAAATCCTGACTTGGGAAGGATTCGCGGCATTTTCTCAAAACTGGAAAAAGAAAGTGTTGGTAGGGTTCCTCGAAAATATAACAAACTAATAGGGTGAACCGATATTGAAAATGAAGATCCCCCCCCCCCTGCAAAAACAAAAGATGCGGTTTTTTGCCACTGAAATCAGCAGAATCAAATTTCGCTGGAGAATTCTAACAAATTACTTTCCAAATATGTGTACTGTTCACTGTGTACAGAATTATTCCGTAGATTTTCCCCCAACATTTCGCGGATTTGTTCAAATTTAAGGTAACATTTTCAGAGAAAATAACAGAAAAGAACAGAAAATTTAATAAATTTAAATTCAAAATATATTTGGAGGCTGTACACCAAACAATTCGTTCTCTTCATGAATCTCTTACCAGTTGGTCATAGATAACTCCCATCTTTTGGTTTTTTTGTACCTTAAAAACCTACATTTGACTAGTGCCTGGTGGTAACAAAATCTTTATAAATTCAAATTAATTCTTTTTAAAATTTTTATTTAAAAAAACTGCATGGCAACACCAGACCTTATACCATTTTGCAAATTGCCAAATTAAGGGCAAATTTAAAGATAGTAATATTTGACAATAATAACAAAAAATCACGATGCAGGCGAAAATTTATTTTGACTTAAAAGACTCATAAAGAGTCAAAATTAATGTCTGAAGACTAAAAAACTAGACGTTTAACTTTTCACACATTATAGTTATAAAGACAGATATTCTTCCTGTTATGCACTTGGGTTTTTTCCCTTAAGCATGATAGAGAAGCTATTCTAAATATAGGAACAAAAAATTCCAAATTCAGGGGGGGGGGAGAATGTCCCCCTGCCCCCCCCCCTGTATACCCCTGTATAATTATTTTAATATATTTGATTTGATTTGATAATAATTCAGTATTAGTTGTTTTTATCTCCTAGACCATTATCTGTGATTTCCAAAATGATATAAAACATTTTTCTTAGTTAAAAACTTTGGATTTTATAAAAGTTTTAAGAAAAAAAAACAATTAAGTTCAAAAATGACAAAAAATCACATTTTTTCTGGTGGCACTGGAAAAAATGGTCAAATAAAAAAAATATTTTGGATTTTTCTTATTTTTATGAAAAAAAGAAAAAGTGCAACTCTGAACAATTTTTACAGAGCCACCCTGTAAAAATGAACCAACTCCGTAGTCTAGAGCTACTCTCTTTAATTGAGAAGAATAATCAACTCTGTCATCAGGGGCTCCATGCACACCTCAGTATGATTAGTAGTAATACTGTCCATTTGATATCTCCGCTAAATTTATTTACTTTTCTCCTATTGGTGGATTTTTTTAAAGATAGATAGATAGTATGATGATCGATAGATAGGACTGAAGACACATTGAAACCTAATTAGATAATCATTTTAAAAAAAAATTAGTATGTTCCTCTATTATCATCGTTGTATTAT